ATATTTTGCCTGAAAATTCTACCCATTAATTTTAGTTTAAGCAAACTGTTCTAAAGAGAGAACATGCAGAGGGTAACAATGTTAGCTATACCTAATTAAAGAGAACATGTAGCATATAATATGTCTCATCTAAACTCACTACACTCCCCCTAATGATAACAGATTGAATAGCTCACTCAAATTTCTTCTTAACTAGCCACATGCTCTATTCCATCCAGAATGTTGTAACCCCAGAGTTGGTGACAGCTACATCCCTTTCACCTTAAATTAGGTTTTCTTGAATCCTTTTTCTTTCTTTTCTGTTGGGAATAGTGTGAATGAGAATCACATTAGTAAAATGAATTGGAGTATTTTACGGACATAAAAAATCCGATAAAAAGGAGGCTTACTTCATGCACACAAAAATTACAGATACATTACACACATCAGATAACTTCTTAGTTTATCAGAAGCATCGATTAAAAAAAAGGGCATCTTATTTGTATGCAAAGAGAAAAAAATGATATAGACATATCCTTGGACTTTGAAAATAATTGATGAGGAGAACATGAAAGAAATTTCCACCGGAATTGTGCTGGCATATGCTACTCTTACTCTTTTCAATGGCATATCCGAAATGTGATGCGCATTACATGCTATATACAGTGCTTGACATATCAAAACATGGTAGACACAGATTGGTGCCGTAAGTGCATGTGAAAGACGTGCTGATGAGGAATGACAGCGCAATTCTTCTTTCACAGAGAACACTCAGACGCAATGTAATGTTTTTAAGTTGGAATAGTAAACTACCTACTGAAGGGTCATACACCATGTTCTTTACTTGGCATATTTCAATCTTCAACGTTTATCATTTCAAGGAGAGAAAATATATCCTCTTAAATAAAAATTAAATAATGCATGCAAGAACAACTCTATCCAAAGCAATAACTTTTACTGTTAACCCAAAACAACACGGAAAAGTTTGCCCTATAAGCTTTCTTCTAATATTTGAAGACTTTCTTCTCTATGGGAAAGCTTGAGAACTCATGCTACACAAGTACACATTCATAATGTTTATTGGAGGACTATTATAACCTTAAATATATAGAAAATATTATAATAGAAAAAAATAGGTTAGAAACTATTTAGTTATTATGATTTATATTAGTTTTATTTTTTAATTTAAATTATATATTATTTTTTCTTTTTCATTAAATATGGTCATTTTATGGAATATTTTGGTCATATTTTTATTGAAAACGATGAATTATTAAATAGATATTCCTTTTTCTCTCATATTTTGTTTTCTTAACTATATATTTAACATTTTATGTCCTATTTTCAATTATGCCCTAAGTTCAAAATTTTGTTTATACCTTAAAAGATTTATCGAAAAATAATTTCCAACAAACCCTAAAATTCACTTTGATTCTCATAATTTTACAAAATAAAATAATAGATAAAAATATATTTCACCATAAAAAGTAAAGTTACATTTTACTTATTTTTTTCTTTTTAAAATATACGAGATTCTTTAAACTTTATAAATTAATAAAATTCTTTTACATGTTTATGATTTCATATTATAAATCTTTTCAAATCATAAAAAATCTTTCAAATTTTTTTACATTCTTTTACAATATCATTTAAATATAAGAATGAAAAGATCAAGGGCTTAATCTTGATGAAAAAAAAAAAAGAAGAGAGATTAAAACCACAATCGTGAGACGATAAGCATGGCGAGAAAGAAGATCCAAAGGTATATGTGTTCTCTCACTTTCTCGATATCCTCTGTCCCTCCTCCATCACTTTTTTTTTTCCTGTTCGAAAGAGTGATGCTTCCACGAAATTTAACTTGGCATGTGTAGTTCTTATCCAAAACATTTTTCTTTGCTCTTGAATTATTCTTTTTAAGCAATAGCTATATCCACAGTTATTTGTAGACTTGACAGTTTAATGTTCTATGTATTGGGATGACAGCATCACATGGATTGTCCACCAAATAAATGCTACGCACCTATTCATGGTAGAGAGAATAGCAAAAATTTTCATTCTTGGCTAATGTCAAAAAGGAAGCTGAGGTACTTCTGAACTAAGAACTTATATTTATCCAATAATTGGATTGCTCATATATTTTATCAAAATCTAGCTTGTGGTAATGGTTGTATTTGGATCCACATTGCATATGAAAAGTCAGGCAAGCAACCAAAGATCAGTGACCATACTAAGAGAAGTTCATGGCAAGCTTCTTACCATTCCATTACCTGTATTAACGAAGGCATTGCAACCGAAAACAGAATAAACTTGTGATCGATACATACATACATATATATATATATATACACGTAGCTTACTTTTTACTTGTTCTGCCATAAATATTGTTCATGAGAAAAAAAAAAAAGTTCACCACCACTGTGAAAAAAAGGTCATGAAAAATAAGTAGTTATTTATAATTGGATTTGATTAAATTTTGGACAATTCAAGTTGGATATGTGCTCGGTAAATGTGGTGATTTGGTTGATGATAATGATCTATATTACTTTTTATTTTTTTTATGTATAATTATTTTTTTTATAAATAATGTATTTAAATATTTTTGTAAGGACAATATAATTTAATTTTTCTATAAACAAATAATAAGATGTACATATCCATAATGTATTTTTTTTTGTTGAGAAAAAAATAATTTGAGATTGATCAAATTAATCCAGTAGTTTCACTATTTTCAAAAGTCCAAATTTACTTGGGAAGTTCACGTGCGAAAGTTACAAATAAAAATTTTGAATCAACTAAAATTTTAAAACAACCAGAGATGCAGGGAAAAGATAGGTCTAGACATTTTTGGCTGATTTAACGTCTGTATTAAACAAACAAATTGCAGTGCCCAAAGAACATGCTGATCCTTTTCAAGGAAACAACACATCATAGAACTAAAATACGCACGGTAGCTTAATTACATGGTGAAAAATTAGACTCGATATTTCAATATCTTAAGTGTCTCTTATATTATCTTTTTGTTCATTGGCCTCCTGTTCGAATTTCTGTGGTCTACTGGTCAGTGAGGTGGCAAAAGATGAATCTCTTAACATAAAGAAAACTAGGGCTTTTCAAAAAGTTTTAGTAAACCATGAACTGGCCTAAAAATACGAATGCAGTTATGTTTTCCACTGACTCAGATAGGTTATCTGTAATGAAGCGAACTAAGAAGCCTAAAGAAAAAATAGGAGATAAATTTAGGCAAAATGTTTGCATACCTGAAGCACAAGGCGTTATTATTGTTAATTTTTGTTTCTACATCTCATGCTACGTGCATAAATTACTCAAAATGTTGCGACAACGTGGTGGAGTTAGCTCGCTGCCGATTTTGCTAATTGAATAAGTAACTACTGACTAAGCGTGTACAATTCAATGTAAGTGAAGGAAACCAAACTAATTACACATTCTAACGTGCCTTCGTCCTTTATTTCTTGTGTCAGTAAACCTTCATGAGTCTTTTGGAAAGGAAGGCTGAAAGGGGAGCTGTATGATGGGGACCACAATGGCAACAAAAGCAGAAGAATTTCCCAAGGAATGATCCAAAAGCATATGCCAAAAAACAATTTTTTCCGAATATCCATTCCTAATGTGCGAATAATGTAGACTATATTGCCTCCTTGTGCTAGCATAGCTAGCAGAAGGGCTACCAGGTATGCTTCAATGTTAGAGGTAGAGAAGAATAACAGTGCGATTCTCCCTTGGCAGGGTGCTACATGTATTCTTGCATGAGAATGGCCTTTCTGCCAAAGGAGAATTGCCCTGCCATTCTACAATTTTACCATCTTGGCAATTACATTTCACAGTTAATCATGAGTGCAAGGGCGTGACTATATATCTTTATGCTAATGCTTATTTATATAGGATGTGTTTTATATTAAGTGTGACTGTATTCACGTTTCCTTGTCTCTGTATGCAGATCAGACATTCCTTCAATTAGCATTATACCCCTTGTCCGTTGCTTCTTCTTTCTGTTTCAGATATTCCGATTTCTGCAAACATCCACCCAACGTTTTGGTAAGCGACTAACAAATGCAACCACTAAGTAATAACATACCATTGTTGAATATAGACATCTTAACTTGTAATTAACTAAAGAACACAGTTTGTTGTTTTCTTCACTGTTGGTATTTAAGCAATGTCCCCATCGGGAGATTTGGCATATAAATATAAAGCCTTTGGTTTGACTGCCTTTTGGTTTAACTCATCTCCCAAGTTTTTAAAGTTAGAATTGGCTGTAACAAGTTTTGTGGGTTATTTGTTGCTATAAATTGTGATATTGTAGTTGCATCCGGTCTATCCAAATTTGATCTTCATTCTTTTGTTTATTATTATCTCAAATGTTTCTATTCAATCGCCAGTATCAAGATGAAATAAATTGAAAATCCATGTCTCTATAGTATGGACACGAATGGCTGGTGAAAATATCCATTGCTGAACACATTTTTATCACCTTAGTTTAAGAGAGAGAAGTGAAAATCCTGTGTCTTAAGAAAGTGTTAAAAGTTTTGAGAATGCATATATGCGGCCCTAATTGATTTATTTGGTGTTTGAAGAAAGATATTAAGCAAATGGAACTAAGGTAGGAACTGATACAGGTATGTAATTATTGCAACAATCAGTCGTAGCTATGTTGATTGAACGAGAGGAAAAATCAATCTCAACGGAGTTTGACTCTGCGGTTATTGGAGTCTCCCATTCCATTGGTTTTTGACCTGTGTGTTGCACCTAAAATCTGCTCTAATTACGGTTTGATCTTGTTGATCGATATAAATATTGATTTTAAACATATAATTAACGGATTTTAACCTAGGGTTTTAAAATAACATCGACAAATCTTAATTCACCACCATGAATGCAACTTTTTTCTTTTTTTTAATCCTTTCTTCTTCGTTTCCTCTCTTCCATCATGAGGTCTCTTATGGGAGATGAGAATACCAAATTAACATGAACTATTAATTTTAGATCCTTGTTGCTAATTCAAATTTATCTTTTTTCTATTCATTCTTTAGGTTTGTGCAGATTAATTTTTTTCCATGAAGTCTTGTGAAAAAAAATAAACATAATAATTGAAATTAATTTACCCATAAATAAAAAAATTAAAAATTTACATGAGAGAGTTTCTACAAATATATATCAATTTTAACTTATATAAAAATATTTATTTTATTTTTTATACTCATTAACAGACTTTTTGTCTCTAAGCTTCTGCGGAAAATGGTTCTTCATAGATAATATTAGATCTCTAAAAATAGGTAGAAAAATGGATTATGTATTAAATATTAGGTTAAGTAACGTTATTGGTGATGCTCTAGAATCTTGATTACCCTAACGCCATTTGCGCAAAGCTATGATTTGGGTTATTCAACTGTTTCACGATCTTGTAATTCTTTATACTTGACTTAATTATAGCATATAATCTACTTCTAATTAGGAAAAATATTTCATTCTAAAAGTGTGGCTCAAATAGTGTTGATGCTGTAAAACTGGTAACTGATGGATTTGTTCATCCTTTAATTGGTACGCTCTAGCATATTATATTATCGAAACATGGCATGATATAGTATAATTAATTTGTTCATCCTTTAATCGTTTGCTTGATCACTCTTGAAAAGATTTTAGGAAACCTTAAAAGCTAAAGGCTTCAAATCTATGTTCACTCAGTTTTTCACTACAAAAAAAAAAGTCTATTATCTACGGATAAAAATTCGTAGGTAAATTTTACATTACCTACGGATATTATTATCCGTGGGTAATTATCCATTACCTACGGATAATATATCCGTAGATAATTCTGTATGGAATTACTATCCGTAGATAATGTCATCAGTGGGGTAAATTATATTAAACCCTAAAAAAATTGTTACTAGCAAGAATCGAACCCAATACCTTAAAGTTGAAAATTAATACTCAACCACTAAACTATTAGGATATTCTAATAATAATTTACAAATTATTCGTGTAAATATATAAATATAAATATATATAAATATAAATATATATAAATATAAATATATAAATACATAAATATATAAATACATCAAAATATAAATATATCAAAATATAAATATATTTTATATTTATATATTTTATATTTATATATTTTATATTTATATATTTTATATTTATATATTTTATATTTATATATTTTATATTTATATATTTACACGGATAAATATAAATATAATTTATTTGTAAGTTATTATCAAAATATCCTAATAGCTTAGTGGTTGGAGTATCACCTCCAACTCTAAGGTATCGGGTTCAAATTTTGCCAATGACAATTTCCTTAATCTAATAATAATTCAAAGTTCCAAAAATATAATATAAAGGGAGGGGGATCTTGCCAATCACAATTCCCTTAATCTAATAATAATTCAAAGTTTCAAAAATATAATAAATAATAAAAATATAATACAAAGGGGAGGGGGTCCTAGGTAATAATAAAAAATAAGGGAGGGGTTGTAGTAAATAAAAATATTTTGTTTAAGGAAGGACATTACCTATGAATTTTACCCTGTTTCTGGTGGAATTTCGATCGATTTTGATTCTAAGGGTGTTTTGGTCCTAATCAAAATTCTACCACGTAAGCTCTTTTTACTTAGGCTAGCAATTTGATTTTCAATCGAAAATGTGTATGAGAATCGAAAACTCCAGGATATCGAAAATGCTGCTTTTGGTATTTACTATTTAAAGTATCGAAAACATTTAGACTATCGAATAGAAAAGCAGAATATTAAATTGCGAGGAAATGTAAAATGCGAGAACCCCAAACTCGCATTAATTGTAAATAGCGAGGAATCGAAAACAACACAAATATAAATGACAAGAAATCGAGATTGCAAGAAAAGTAAATGACAGGAAATTGAGATTTGCAGAATGTTAAATAACGGGAAATCTAAATGCAGAAACTCAAATTTTCATTGAATTGAAATGGACAAGGAATCGAAATACAGAAACATAAAACTGCTGAATTTAAGTTGCATCAAAGTAAATTACCAAGGAAAATACAGAAAGCGATAAATGTACTCCGTGAGCAGGGAAATCCAGACCACCAGAAGCTTCATGGTGTTCGTCGTTTCTCCGGTAGACTTTTCACTACTGGTTCTGTGCTCTGCCATTTTTTGCTCTCCTGTTCCTTTCTCCTTTGCTCTATTTATAGGGCATCCTTCAAGCTTTCTGAGAGCAGTTAACGCGACTGCTACCACGTTCTACGTGCGTATGGCAGTTTATCTTCTGTAGTTTCCCACGTTCTCACGATCTCCGACTTTTTCCCCATGATTTCAAAACTGCTCTTTATGCGTGCATTCGTCTTCCTTTCACGATTTGGCCAAAGTCTCGATGTCCACGTTGGCTTTCTTTACTCTCGATTCGGTATTTTTCGAGAACTTTGAACTGCTTACAGTTCCTTTTTAACCCTGGTCTTATATGACTTAGTTTTTATTCGACAACAGTCATTTGATTATTATTCATTCGATTCTTGATTGTGCTCCTCGATGCTGTATGCTACGTATTTCTAATTAGACGTCGACTGAATCTTATCGAGTCGCATCTCTTTCCTTCGATTTCGATCACTTTCCTCGATTTGCCACTAACAAAATGCCCCCTTGGAAGAATATAAATGATTTCAGTTTATATTCTTTCAATATTCCCGCCTCAATGTTTGGAAACATACGGAACTTAGGGTTTAGGTTTTCTGGGGTTCTAGGGTTAGAAGGGTTTTAGGGTTTCCTTTCCGTTTTACGTCGCCATCATATCGACTCGTTGCTTTTACAATGACGCTACATTTATTACTTTTCGTATCTGTCTGCTCCAACTCCCTAGGCGATTTTCTCTTTTAACCTTTCTCTTGGTCTTTGTTCTGGTTTTTACGCGAACTTTTATCCTCTTTTGCAATCTTGTCTTCTTCCCTAAGCTCCCGCCCTCGTCCCTCGTTTCTTTACCTGTCAACTTCCTTACTACTTCTCTAATCTTATTACAATGGCCTCTTCATCCAAGTCATCTGATTTCTCGGCTCCTCCTCTTACCTCATCTACCTCTACCTTGCTGGAGATTAACAACCAACAGTTTGCTCCCTTGCCTCTGATGGAGGAGGCCTCTAAAAGGATTGCTGAAACTCAGGTATTAGTTCCTTACAATGTTGGTGGGGTAGGTTTTGGTTTTGGGGGCCCCATTCTTTCTGGTAGTGGAACCATTTCTCCCCTCACCCTCTCAAGCGGCCCTCGCTCTCGTTCATCAGCCCGAAGTTAGGATCGATTTTTTGAATTTTGTTTCCAAGGTGTATAGGACAGGCCCTCCCTCCAAAAAATCTTTGTTCACTAGATGGTTTGATAGGGTCAAGGCTAAGTTCGGGAACCATTGGAGGAACGTGGGAATTTTTGATTTTCTACACTTGTCTCAATGTGACTTATCCTACCTCGACATGGCTATGTTCCTGGTCGCCGTGCATTTATGGAATAAAGAGATACATGCATTGGAATTACCTTGCGCCCCCTCTCACCTACTCTTCTCGATGTCGCAGCCATCACTCGGGTTAAAACCTATAGGGGAGAGATACTTTCGTGGTGCATGTCCCTCGGATAATTTGTTGAAGTCTAAAATCGATTGGGAATCGAAGGCCTACGGGCATTTCATTGAGAAACATTTCGTTGATGATCCCTCAATAGATGTTACCGATGAAGAACATGTAGCGTTTTTGGTGTACTCGGCTGTGCACCCATGTGTTTTGCCCC